TATAAAATAAAAGGAACTAGGTGGCTTTAACTGTTGGGAGGGGGCAGGGTACAAGTCTCACGAAGCGGAGCGGTTGGTGCCTAGTAATAAGTAAACCACGTGGCGGTATCTTAATCCCGCAAGTTGCTCAGGTTTTGACCAAATTTCCGGGAGCTTCGTCATTAAGTTTGACCGATGGTGACGTGGCTATTAAGTACTTTATTATTATGTGGAATTTATTGTGAGGCCAATTTCGTGGTGGGCTATCTGGCGTCGACGGCGACTAAGGGCCCGGGGGGTTTGCATAAGTTGGAGAGCCCTCCGTTAGGCTCGAGTGTTTGGCTCCAGCATGATTTGGCGGGAGTGTCTTATCCCCGTCCGGTTTTAATCTAGGCTAGCGTTAGCCTCATTCTCTTGTACCGAAAAAAAAGAAAAAAGAATACAAGTGTACCAACAGGAGTTGGCTCAAGTGGTAAACAGTTTGATATCGCTTAAGCAAGGTCTCGGGTTTGAGTCCTTGTGGATGCAGAAATCCCTTGTTGGGAGACTCACCCACAACTGTCAGGTGTGCGACCTGGGTCGACCAACATATTAGTCGAAGCATAGTTCCGGACAGGGCCGTCTCTAGAAATTCGAAGGCCCTAGGTAAGTTTTTTCTTTTCGAATTTTCTCGATTTGAACTTACGTAGTAATTAGGGCTATTCGCAGATAGAATTATAAATTTTAACGAGACTATTAAATAAATAAATAATTAATTAAAAAAAATCTTGTTTTTCTTGAACTTGAAATTGATAAATTACATCGGGGCTACAAAGATCTTTAATAAATTACAGTCAACCAATAACGAGGACAACAAAGAGAAAAAAATAAAAATCATATCACGACAAAAAATATTTATTTTTCACACAACTTGTTCTGACCGATCATCATATGAAAACAAATGAAATATTTAGGGCCTCAGTTTTCCACACAAACTACATATTTTGCCATTAGCTCATTCATTTGTGTAATGGCTCAAGTCCATATTTAGCTATTAACCCTTTCATTTGTGTAAATAT